CAGTGAGTTAGTGATGATGCGTTAGCTCATGGAACGAGGAGAAATAAGTAGAAACACACCAGGCTTTGGCCATTTTGGCGACAACCTAACCATTTGTTGTATCTCCGTCTTTTATATTACCGCTGAAAACCCAAGATTCAGTTTTAGTATATATGAATGAGACTTACTTGGTTTCTAAAAGAAATCCTGCAGCATTGTGAAATGTGCCGGACCGAACTCACAGTACTTACGATAAGTATAATGTAGGAATTAAGTCAAGCCTCACAAAGCGGAGGTTCTTACTATTCTTACTTAAGAATATTTACACAAGGATTCCGATCTGAAAAATAATTATTCTGAACACAAATTTTCAGGTTCGGCGCAGCAGTTCGTCGCAAGAACTTGAGTCACAAAGCGACCAAGGGAGATACCCAAGAAGAAACTATTCGTGGAATACACCGAAAGCAATTGCCGCAAGAAATTGGATCCAAGCAAATTTGAATGCAAGACGGCGGATACATCAGAATGTCGGCATGCCCTGATGCCCGAATCTCGCATTTAATGTTAATAAAACCGTCTATTCAATGTCTTTCATATTGATACACAAATATGACGCCCGTCTTTTATATGCATGTATAAACTAATGAATCAAAAGAGGGATATAAATATTTCCAGTTAGTTTTAGTATATGTTCAAGATATTTACATGCAGAAATTTGGTGACAAAAGCGAAATACAACACTAGTTATAGACAAGTAGAGAGAAAGTTTGGCATCCGTGTCGCAGACTATGATTGTTAGACGAGAGAAGAGACGAAACCAGATGAGGCATCATTCTATTAGCCCAAGCTCACAAATACGTACAGGTCAAAGAAAGAGATCAGTTTATCAGCTGGCTAAATAAATCAATAGAATAAGCGACACAACAAAGACCAAATACTCGCGATGTGGTATATGAGGAGATACAAGCAGGTTGCAATGAAGTCATTCACACTAAAAACGAGGGACGGCTGGCTTGTTGATTGACTTCAAGTCGGAGCAGTTTAGTCGACAAATGCAATTGATAAAACGGAATACAGATAAGACAAGGGCAATTTGCTCACGACGCGAAGCCCTAAAAGGACGGGACCGCTCTAGTAAGGAAGTCACACAAGCCCAAAGCAGAGTATGAGATAACTTGAAAATGCAAGTTCACTCGTATAATTTATACAAAGCATAGAAGATTAGGGGCTATTTTACAAAGGCTTGCCACAGAAGCAGTCATAGTCCAGGGAAGGGGTTAAACAGAATCTTAGCCCTAATTTACCCAAGCACACAATTACGCAGTCCTTATCACAGATATCTGGAGCCTGGACGTTGGCTGGGAGGAACACCGGCAAGAGAAACGGCAGCTGGCTGGTTACCCATTCGAAAGCAGTCAGTGGGCTACAGTGCGCCTCAACCACCGGCCGTGGCACTTTTCTCGTAGCTGGTTCTTTTCGTCAAATAGCTTGACAGATTTGTTGTCTCTGATCTATTTTTCCTTTTTTACTAAATAAACAGTTCAGTTTAGGAACAAATAACATTCTGAAATATAAAAGTACTCGAAACAAAATCAAAAATATTTGAAGGTTGCCATGTAAGAGATCCGAGCCCCGAACAAATGCACCGATTACATCGATAAAGAAATACTCTTAAGAGTAATAGGAACATATCCAATCTTCACACCTAAGGGTAACATTAAAGAAGAATGAGAGTTCGAAAGAATGTACAAAAGAGACAAGCTTACAATGACGATAGAAATAGCTATCCAAAAGAGGCGACACAAAACGAAAATCTTCCAATAAATACGATTAGTTCATATCGATTACTTTAAGCAAATTTCTCAGGAATCTCACAGCATTCAGCCATAAATGCACTACTGTCAACCAGTATTGACGAGCCGAACCAGATTATCTATGATAAAAGCTACGCAGAGAAAGACTTCAAAGTTGATAGGAATAAAGAAGTGACATGGTCTGAAGGAGCTCAAGAGATTATCTCAAGTCACAACTTAGTATGGAGAAAATGCAGATGAATTAACCAGCCTAAAAACGGTACAGATTAAGAAAATGAGGCAGCCCATGTTAACCGAAGTACACACAAACCAAGGAATCATAAATGAAAATGATTAAAATGAACACTAAGCAATTGAAGCCGAAGAATAGATAACAAAACAGCTGGGCCGGAAATAACAGTAACAAAATACTAACCATCACGGAACTCATCTGGACGAAATATTGCTGAGAAAGAAAGGATTGAACAAGTTTGCCCAACGGGTCTAGCTGCTTCTATCGCCATTAGATGAAGCTGTTGGCGAATTACGACCTGACAACTCGCTATTATTTACAACATTTCTAGAGTTAGATATTCCATTCCTTTCGCGCACAGATCCGTCCAATTCGGGCTGAGGGCTAGGTGCATTCATCCAACCAAAATTTCCCGCTGTGCCACTAGGGAAGTAATTCAGGCCGTACACGAGATTGAAAACGTTTGAATCCAATTTACCAGCACAGTTTTCCTACGAAGTAAGAATATATTATAATCAACTTACCTCAATAAATCGGAAAAACGTCTCTCCAGTAAGCATAGCATCACTGCCAGCCTGATGTTGCAATCCAATTCTAGGTACACGCATGGCGTCCGCTAACTCTTGGAGACCACCCTTGAGGTACTTGTATTCATTCATCATTGCCTTGAGGTCAATGATTTTGGGGAAATATAGCGACAAGTGCTTTTGGAATTCGGCATAGGTATCTGGCATACATGGCCAGTTTGTACAGAGTTTCATCAGATATGCAAAATCATAGGCACTGCAAAGTTACAAATTAAATACACTTGCCTATGAAATCCTATCCAAGATATTTGCTCATTGAGAGCTAGGCCGCTTGATATAAAATTTTCTGCAAAACGCTGCAACTCGATACCGGATTGCTT